GCATCATCAGCAGTTGGTTAGACCTGGCTGGGTCAGGAACTGATCTGCTGGATTCGCCCATCCCAGCAGTGGCCTTCAGCGACCAGATCCTTGCCCTATCTACTTCGGACATGCCAGCAAAATCGCCGAAGTAGGCTGCAACTCCTTCTCGGTTCTGACCCCATATGAGGTCCCAGATGTGGTCTGGGATTGGAATTCGGGGGGCCGAGAAACCCATTTCTCCAGATTGCAGAGTCTGGAAGGAAGGGAAGGATGACGATGGAGCTTGATTAGCTTTGGATGGCTCAACATCATCCTTCTCAGAGGAGTCAATTACTATGACCTCCTCTTCTTCAGGGGTGAGGACGAAAGCCTCAACCTCTCTTGCGATGTCTGCCGTGAAGCCCTCAGCACTGGACATCACGGCATCCTTGTTTTCGTGCTCAGCAGCACTCTCCTTAATTTCTTCTTGGACCGCTCCCTTAGATTCGGGAGTTCTCTGATCCACCTCCATCTCAGGAGGTGGCGGAGGGGTCTTTTGAGGTGATTGGGGTGGTGGCCGGGGAACCCTCGGCGATCCATTGCCTTCCTCGGGTTCCCTTATTGCAACGCCGATGGTCATCGGCCTCCGCTGAAAGTCATGAGGGCCGATGATGGCCATCCTTCGGCGCCTTTTCTGAAGGGGCTGCTCGTCCATATCTGAGTCTGAAGACTCTCCTTGTATTTGGTCTTCGGGACGAACAAGAGCTTTCCCTTCTCTATGTCTGTTACTCTCTTTAGACTGTAACAGACAGGGGGGAGGAAGAATGTGAGTAAAAAAAAAAAAAAAGAAAAAAGAAAAAAGAAAGACAAAGTTAAGTCTGAAAGCTCACCGAGGTCTTCAGCAAAGCCTCGTCTTCTTCAGCTGCTCTAGCTGCAGCTTCTGCTTCAGCAGCTCTGGAGGGCCCTTCTCCTCCTTCGCAAGCTTCGAGAACCCGTGCAACCTCTTCGGCTGTACGGGCAGCTTCAGCTTCTTCGTCCAGCAGCTGAAACCAGGGGTCTCTCTTCTTCCACCAAGGCTTCTTCCTCTGATACAGAGCAACAGCCTCAATTTGGAAGTGGGAAGAGTCTAGATGAACTTCCCTATGCCTCGGCTCAGTGATAGACGGGGCCCGTTCAGTTACAACTCGTTCTCGGTTGACACCAAGACGAGCGTAGTTAATGCCAATGTTGGTCTCGTCCCGCTCTGAAAAAGGAAAGGGGAAAGGTTAGTTCAGATAGGTTGGCACAGCATAAAAAAGCGAAGCGAGAGAAGAAAAAGAGATAGTTAAAAAGCCTCGGCCCCAGCCGAAGAAGCTTACCATCCTTAAACTTTCGGCTGAGGCCAACAGCTGCTAGCATGTTCTCTTGGAAAACGTAATGCGTATCGGGGAGCCAAGTCTCCGGGATATGCTGCATTCGGCCACTGCCCCCCCGGTTCGGCAGCTTGCCGAAGATATGTTGTTGATCAAGGTTCGGATCCGCCCCGTTATCTGCGGGGGGACCTAGACTTCCCATTTCGGGATCAGGCTCAGCGAGGTACCGGGGAGCGCTGAAGACGCAAGGGTGGCCCGGATCTGTGGGTGCCCTAACCCAAATCCATTGACCTCTCCAGTCCTTGTCTGAAGAGTCGTTTGGCCACATTGTTAGGTATTGGGGCCGGGACTCAATCCGGTACCACCCAGAACCATGGCTTCCGTGCCCACTTTGAATATTTGGCACTAGCCGATGGAGCTTTTTGAAGCAGTGCAGGTTCGGCACATACTTGAAGAACTTGCAGACCCATAAGTATGTCATCACCCTTCGGATGCTGGTGGGAGTTAACTGACATAGAGAGATGTTGTAATGGATCAGCAAGTCTCGGACGAATACGTCCAAAGGGAACCTCAGCCCGTACTGAAGCTGTCTTGTGTACACCCCCACATACCCCGGGGGTGGACGATGGATTCTATCGGATGTCGAGGGCATTCGGCACCAATACCCATCAGCTTCAAAAATGCCGTAATGCAACTCAATTTGCTCGGCAAATCGATATTGATCGGCATTCTCCACCCACCATGGGTAGGGGCGGTTCTTTATCATGGCCGAAGCAACTTCGGCATTCTCCCATTCTGAAAACCCGGGGAGGATATCCCAAAGGACAGCGGGAACTTCATCATCCCGTCCAGAAGCGCTCGGCTCCTCCGTTCTCTGAGGAGGAGCCGAGGAAAGGGGAGTCGCCCTAATCCCTTCAGCAGGGTCAGACTCTGGCCTTTGTCCATTCCAGGTCTCAATCCTGTTCCTAGGATCGGGAATCGGCCTTGCTCTTCTTGGAGCACGGGCTCTACCTCTAACTCCTCTTGCCATTGATTATTTCGAAGAAAAAAGTCGAAAGAAAAGGGGAAGGAGTTCGAATTCGAAGAAAAATAAACTGAAATCAAAGGAATTTACCTTAATCTGAAGCGAAAGTTGCCGATTTACGAGTTCGTAGTGGCAAGTCTCAGTTTCTAAGCTTAATGCTCGGGGAATTTGCGAAGTTTTGATGCGGGTTCTTGGTTTCTCTCTCGAGAATTCTGGGTTTGTGTTGGTGAATAAGTGAGGAGAGATGACGCGCCTCTGTTTATATCTCCAGGAATGGGATACGAGGAGTCTGCGTTTTGATTTCTCTTAAATACTCCACTAAGTAACCGTTAAACACATGATCTTGTGATTAAATTGCCCATTATCCGTCCAACTTCCACAATCATCCGCCTTAACCGTTGTTATCTCATTAATTACGGTTTAAATTCAAATTTTTGGATTAATTAAATCATTTACTTCCCTCCTTTTCTGAATTAAATCAAACCCGACCCGTCATCCTTCCAAATCGGGTCTGGGGGGCAAGTTGTTTGGGTCCAATTTAGTCCAATTGGGCCTAGATATTAAATGATCCAATTAAAAGCCCAAGGTCAAGGTTCAACTCTTCAATTGTGCTAAAGTCAAAGGTCAGCCCACAAAGCAAGCCAATTGGGCTAAGGCCCAACCTCTCCATGTATGATGAGGTATAAAAGCCATCAATATTGATTCATTCAGAGGTTCATTCATATGTTCATTCATATATTCTGATATATTCCATTAAAGCCTCAAGCAACAAACTCTCTTGCATAGTGTCCTCTTCTTACACATTGTACTGACTTTAGCATCGGAGGGGCCTTCCTCGGCAACACCCCCGAGGCTAGTTTACGTGTGTTTACTGTGCAGGAAACCTTCGGCCCAACATAACTTGGACCGAATCCAGCCTTCTCCGTTTCAGCGGACCTTCGGCAAGGTCCCATTGTTTTCACCCGAAACAACACTTACGCTAATATAAGTAATAATGATTTTTAAACAACAAATTTAATCATTTTACTAAATTGAATTGGCGGTATGGTGATGCTCCTTGTGAACTAAAAAAACATAGGCTGACTCAATAAGGTGAATTAACATACTATCTCAGATTCATATTGTTCTTAACATAGTAATTCCTACGTTCTCTTTTCATTGCAACCGGAGAGGGGGGCAGCCGAGCAGGGAGGCAGGGTGTATTACTATTGTCATATTGTGGGAGAGGATAGAGACATAGATAAAAAGAAAAACCTGTCTAATGTGGAGAGAGATGGTGAGACATTATTGGATAAATAAAGTAATTTTATAATTAATTTTGCAATTTCACAAAATAAATATTTTGTGATTAAAAGAAAACGAAGGGATTACTATTTTGCACAAATAATACTAAAAAGGAAAGACAATTAGATGAAAGCAAGATTGCCTTACTATTATTAGGTCACTTGTCGATTCACAAAAGTGGTCTTATGATGGTATAATGGTCTTACACAAATGTTTCTCAAGTTATTGTGTAGAAAAAAGTCATTAGTAAGAAAAGCAGATAAAGTAAGCATATAGTGAGTAGAAATATGTAAATACTAAGATTTATAAGGTAAATGTTTCTCAAGACATCACTAATTGAATAGTATTTTGATAGATTTTGTATAATAAACTTGGTAGATTAAATTGTTTTCACATTTTTTAGTTGTTTAAACCTTCAATTTCATTCTTGTAACACTATTTAATTTCTAGATATTTAAAAAAAATGGCTTAATTTCCCCAAACCTTGAATGCTAGAAAAAATAGTTTGACCATACTCAAGCAAATTTTTTCATTTTTTTTTTGTCTGCTATTTACGGGTTAGACACTTTGAGAGTAAAGAGGTAAGGGTAAGGGAAGTAGGAAACCCCACCCTCGAAGTATTTCTAGCGGGCCCCAGCCCAAAGGTTAAAAGATGCAATATTTTTCACTACTGTGTGGATTCAACTATACTTACCAACTACATTTGTTAGGAATTTACCTACAACAACTGTATTACAACCTATTACCTCCCATCAAAAACCAATGGAACCTCTAAGACAACCACCCAATCACCGAAATACACCACAAGCCCCATTGAAAAGTGAAAACTACCCATAAACCTCTACAACAATTAGCCATTGAAACAACTCAACCTTCATATAGAACTCAATTGGGAATGGATCATCAGTAGATTTATCATATAGGAGTACTCATATATACTAGTATATGGGAGCGTTCAAATGACTTGTATGCCCTTGAGCATGACAATCATATACGTAGACCAATCACTAACTTCAGAGAAAACCATTTGTATTGTAATCAAGAACAACCTAGAGTACTTGAACAAATAACAAGACAAGTTCTTGATGCATGAAAAAGAAGAGCTAAATATTAATGCCACAACCATAGTCTAAGCAAAGAGGGAAGAGGTTGATGCAAGCCAAACACATATATGCATGAGCCATGGCCCATGGGGCAAAATTCGTTAAGTGACTGAGGTCACAGGATCAAGTCTGCTAAGGATGCTTAATTGGCAGACTTAATTAGGAAGGGATTACTCTAAACAGAAAACCCCTGTCCGTACTCGGTTTAACTAAAAATGAATATTAGTCTAAATTGTAAATCTGATTCAGGCTTCTCCAGTTGCAGATGAAAACAGCTAAAAAAATGCGTATTTTGGCAAGAAAGTCTAATTACAATATCAAACATCAATTTCTTTCTCTATATACTCCTTGTTCAAGTGGCAAATTGTACATTTGGTTCAATTATTACCAACAAAACCGTAAAAAAATATTTTCACACATTTAACACCAACCCCCTTCCAATAATAACCCACCACCACCCAAAAAATTGGAACAATAGAGTTCACTACAATAATATTCTGCACAATGAGTTGTAAATCGAAGTATCAAACCAGCTCCTTTAATTCATTCCTGTTAAGTACGAAGGGATGCTCGGGGTACAGAGGGCAAGCCCAGTTCATCCTCAGACTGGAATAGAAAGAGACAGTAATTAGGGAACAAAAAACACTTCAATTCATTTTTTCCTTTCAATAAAGTTTGATATGGGAAATTCCCTGTTTCTTATGGTTAGAAACGAAATTTGTTTCTCATGGGGGCATTTTTGTAAATAAATCAACAACTTTTTCATTATTGTTGGTTTATTTACGAAAATGCCATGTGAGAAACAAAATTTGTTTCTCACTATGAGAAACTGGGGCATCCTCGTTTGATATTAGAGCTCTTAGATAAATTTGAAACCCAAATAATACCAGAAATAGACTATTGTGTATTTACCTGAACATTGGCTCTGCCAGGCACTGCTGCAGAACCAGTAGGAGCTGCTGGCAAGTTGAGCTCTTCCTCGACATCAGGTTCAGACTGAAGGTAAGAAGGAACCCCCTGACTCTCAGATTCCATATCTAATTCCAGTGCATCGAGCTCTGCACATAATTATTAACATATAAGATGATCGGCATAGCAAATTCTTACAACAACATTTGTTGATAGACATCATTATAAAATAAAAGCCTACCACCCATCAGGTCATCCTCATCAATGTCGTCAGGCACATTGTAGCTTCTTCCAAGGGTTTCTTGAATCTCATTACTCATATCCATCAAGTCCATCATATCATCTTGCAGGTTCTACATAACATAAAATCAGTTAGCTTCCAAGCAGACTTAAACTTCCAATAGAACTCAAATATAAAAGCAAAAATATAATTGCTTACATCTATTTCTTGAATTTTTACTGTCTTCATCATTCCTTTTAAGTCCTTGTTTGCAGCTTTTAATGCTGACATCTGACGAGAAACAAAGAGAAAAAGGCATCAGCAGTAATTAAGACAGAAAACTCTTCAATCATATCTAACAAAACCTATATATTACCATGTACCATAAAACAAACATCAGAAGCATACAGCATACAACGCATTCTGACACAGACTAAGTATATTTGGTTTCATTAGCAATAGTGATCTACCTCCATGAGGTAGGCAGAATATTCCAAACACGTTACACATAAAGCTGCCCTTCAACTGACTTGAACCATGCCCTGTAAAATACTACCAAGACAAACAGATATTTCCATGATAAATCTTGTAGCCCAGCTTTGCCATTACCAAAAACAGCAGTCCACACAATGTGGGTATGAGATGCATTCCTTAGTTGGAATCATACATTATAGATACTTATGACAGATCCTGAAAATATCAGGCTTGATTACCCAAAGGCCCCCAATAACAAAAGAATTTATTCCCAAGTCCACTCAGAATACACTGATCATTTACATCATCGTTGTAAACTCGTAATATTGATAAGACAAAATACCATCAACATTGAGACTTAAATTTCATGTCTAATGTCACCTGTAACCTTAATAAGGCAAACCAAGTCCAATTAAGAGGAAGTTTCTTAAGATGCAACTGTAACTTTCACAGGAAAGTATAATTCCACAAGCTTTTTACATTTAAGTAACTTGTATTCAGGCAGTACCAGTTGAACCACTTCACTAATGAAACATGAACTCTATATATGAATGAGACCTTGGTAGCAAGCCAACATAGATAAGATGCAAAAAGCAGTCACTGCAATAAGCAATGTCAGTTCATAATACTCACAGTTTGCTGAGCATCCTTTATACCCTCTGCAGCAAAGGAAACTTGGTCAAGATTGAATGTTTGATTGTAGAGCATATCACGCTGCCCTTCATACCTATTTACAATCCAGGATCAAGATCTATACATTAGAATGACTTCGCAAAATATGCCACAAAAATCACATAACAAACCAGTAAATGGCAAGTCACTTGCATGCACATATATCTGCAATATTGAGCCCTCAAAGCCTCTAACTTAGCACCATCAGACTAATGGAAGTAAGTCATATTTCCTCCGTTTATTATTTATTGCACCATGAGTGATTTCACGCTTGCCAATGCATTTCTTTGGCTATTTATATCTTTAATTATACTTTAGTAAAATTATAAAAAGTAGATTTCACGACTAATCTAACTAGATCCCACATGGCTATGTTTTTCCTTACGAATAAATCACAAAAGATAGTCAAAGAAGATATGTGAATGGTGTAAAAGTCACGGTGCAATAAAAGAAAAACGAAATAAATGTTAAGTATATTTAGAAGAAAAACAACAAAGAGATCAGTCATAACAAAGAAAAACAACAAAATGAGCTAACAAAAAGCTAGTCTGACTTAATCATTCATGCTATCACAAAAACATGATGCATATTACTTAGAGCAAGTTTAGCCGAATGTGACATCATTTTTGGTGGTCCCCATTGAAATTGATGTCATCAAATTCATGTTAAGACTCACTAAGACTTACACAAATTTATCACTTTAGCCCTAAGACTTAAATATTTGACATATTATATGTAGAAAAGTGTAAAAAAAAAAAAAGGATAATAAAAATAAAAGTGAAGTGGGTCCCACTCTTAAGTCTTAAGTTGAGTCTTGGAATTTCAAGCCTCAACTTGAGACTTGCTTGAGATTTTTGAAGAAAAATGGGAAAAGTCTTAAGCATAAGTCTTAAGACTCAAAATGATGATGTCACCCCAAGTCTTAAGACCTGGGGCTAAACTTAATTCGAAAAGGGACTTGGGGTGACATCATCATTTTGAGATTTTCAATTATAAGTGATTGAATGATTTACTACGTAAAATGAATATTATCAGCAGGGAATGATTTCCTATACTAAGCAGCTGATCACAAAAATCACAAACAAAATCTCAATCCAAAGCAATAAAGATTAGTGCAACTCAATTCATGGGAAGACTGCCAATAATCAAGTAAAACAATGCTAAACTACAGTCCTACACAAGACATGTAGACTTCCAGCAGTTCCAGATCTTATAAGATCAAGTATATCAATAGATGCAGTGGTGTTTATAAGCTAAAGGTAATTTATGCCATTCAAAAAGGGACTCAGAGAATAATAACCAGATAAAAACCCTGATTTGGATCTCTAGAATATCTGTTATGAGGAACTGAATCAAGAACTAGGCCACCCTAAACAACAATTATATTAAGTCTTTAGCCATCTCTGTAAAAAACAACAATATCCCAAGTTTTACGTATCACGTGATGAACCTAATGGGGCCTGAGTTTGTCAGCTCTGAAATCTCACACATAAGGTGGGGAAAAAAAAAATCATTCTCAACTTACTTTTTTTTTTTTTTTTTTGAATAGGCTAACTTAAAGATTGTAAAATATTTACATCTATAGCCCTATACAATTATTACGTTATGTCATAGTGTATTTTATTTTATATGGTAGTATTCCTTTCTTCAAAATTCTAATTTTCAAGAATTATCACAACTGATACAGTTTCTCCTAACTAGCTAGCAGTGACAAAACTTTGAAGCAGATGGGAGCCCACTAGCCCAACTTTCTGAACTTCTAATTGTCAACATAATATCTACTTTGAAGAGGCATAAAAAGATGGATGGCACAATGTTAAAACTAATTTAATATACTCAACAGTATAAAGATTTCGACCATTCCTACAGAGAAGTTCGACTGAGTGAACCCTGACTTTCCTAGATTTCACCAAAATTAAGATTCATGCTAGGTGTTCTGCTACTGTAAATGCTGCTGAATTCAATGGAGACAAAGAAAGTATTCCAGACTGGCAGATTCCAAACAGAAGTTGGAAACATAATGAATAACAAAACATTACACATTTCAGGTCATTCATAAAATAGATCATTGCACTATAATCGTGATAGAATGATGTTCTTAAAGTCGGCTTTTAACATAGCATTAACTTGATACAGGTAAAAGTGACTGCTCAAAACAGTAGGAAACAGCTGCACCAAAATGCAACAAAAAAACAGTAAGGAGAAAGGACATACATCCGTTTTTGTTTAAGGACCCTCATCGCTCGAGCCTTTACAGCTTCCTGTGCAGGACCAGGCCGTGTCTTTTTGATTTGTTCTTTGTATCTAGCTAATTCAGCATCAAGCTTTTTAATCTTGTCATCAACATTTTCCCCTCTTTTGTTGATCTATCACCATGCAAAATTAATACATCAAGGTGATGATATAAATAATCATAATAGGCATGTCTATCCAGACAAGTAAACCAAACAATAAGCACAAGAACCCACGTGATGCTCATGACACAATATAAAACAATAAACTAGATACATATAAATGATCTTCAGTAACTTTTAAGCTTAAAAAAGTCTAATTAACAGAAGCTTGCTTCGTGTAGTCCTAAAACCAGTATGAACTAACAACTGCTAAAGCTTATTTTATTTTCAGAATTACCCTTTTTAATGAACTAAGATTATGGCTTGTTAATACGAGTGATAAGTGTAACACGTTTTAACAGGAAAACTAGCCTCCTTAATATCATAGGCAATGAGGATGATCCACAGTCATAGAACTTTATGCACAATATATAGTAAACTCCAGGAAGTAAATATATCATGTTCAAAGCAGGTTTCATGATCCTATAGTTTTTTCTTTAACCTTTTTGGGTTGGGGCATTCATCGAAATCCTCGGTAGACAGATTTATACAGCTTAAAACAGCTCAATTCATTCTTCCAATATTAATTTCTTTCTCCAACCCTCTTGAGTTAGCACGCATTGTTTCCACAAAATTAACACTATAATTTGACCACACGATAAAATTAAGATCAGATTTCGACATAATTTTCTCAAACTAAACCAATCAATCCTTACATTGAGCTCAAAAAAAATAGAGATAACCAAATTAAAGCTAAACTCCATTACAATCAATTCATAAAAACATTTAAACAAAATTCCAAACCCTAAATCCCAAAAATCAAAACCCTAATTCAATTTCAATGTACATAGATAAAATTCAATAAATTAGCGAAGATTCACTTGAAAAATTCACCGAATCAATGTCAAATTAAAAAGAATACCCGATCAGAAGCATCTGAAACTGAAGGAGGAGGATCTTTTTGTTTCTTAGCACCGAAGATTCGTTGCATCGTAAATTCTCTGAATCTCTTTCTGCTGATGTTTGCTAATTGTGGCTGAATTTACGATGTTTTTCTTTGAAATTTGAATTGAAATAGCCTTAATTGACAATTTAAATAGTAGACTTTTTCAATTAAAAATTCAATCGCCAAAATAATAAAGATAACGGAGAAGTATATGTGAATTTTCGATGAAATGTTGGGTAAATTGGGTGAGCTGCGTTAGGGTGGAAGATGACGAAAGTGATAGAAAGTTCTAAGAAATTTCGATATACGACTCTATCAATATCAATCTAGTAGTTGGGTTTTTATTTAGTTGGTACGGAGAAAGCCCTAGGTTAGATAATTTAGAAGAGTGGATGAAAGATAAAATAATCACACTCCTCCAAATTATCACTAGTGGGTAGGGATGGCAGTGGATCTGGACCCGATCCGGATCCGTGGATCTAGATCCGTTTTTCACGGATCTGGGTCCTTAAATTTTGGACCCGATGAATTCGGGTCGGATCCGGATTCAGCTGGGAAAACGGATCTGAGTCCGGGTCTAACTACCAGACCCGGACCCGGATCCGTAGACCCGTTTTATAAATTTATTTTTTTTAAAAAATAAAATTCCTAATACAAGCCTAACAAGAGTACAACTGTACAAGACTCACAAAGTCACATTTCGGCCATATTAGAAACTGAAATCAACCCACATAAAAAAAATTAACCCTAATTTTCTCTCTCTAGTTTCCTTCTCCAGTTCTCCACCAGCCTACTCTCCACGACTCCATCCGGCGGCGATCTCCGATCAGTTCTGTTAGATCGGCGGCGATCTCCCTTCATTGCTGTGAGTCCTGTATTCCCTCCTCTTTTTAGTTTCTTTGTTGTTTACTTGTTTACTTTATATGAGCAAATAAACTAAAGTAGTAGTTCAGATTTGTTTGTGATGAATTTGTACAAGTTTGCATTTCAGTTGATGAAATTCGTGGGTTTATTTGTGTTGTTGATGAAATTAGTGGGTTTATTTGTGAATTGTGATGTTGATGAAATTCGTGGCCTTGTGGAGTTGTGGGTTTATTTGCATTTCGTGGGCTATTTGTGAATGTTTATACGCTGAAATTCTAAAGTAGTACTTTATTTGCATTTCATGAAATTCTAAAGTAGTACTTTATATGCTGAAATTTCGTGGGCTATTTGTGAATGTATGTTTTTGCTGCCAATTTGTGTGTTTTACTTATGCTGCAATTTTGTGTAATTTATGCAATTTTGTGTGTTTATTTGTTTGATTTATTTGTAATCTACTACTGTGAGGTCGATTAGGAACTGCATAGTTACTTATTAGCAATTAGTTTCATGATTAAACCTTTATTACTTCCTAAAATATAAGTTTATAATGATGGAACATAGTACTGTAGTATTTAGAATTCATTTGGTTGCACATTACAATTCTAAGCTACATAATTAGCACGTATTATCAACTCTTGCTTTTTAGTACATTACAATTCTAAGTTAATTTTATTTCTGATTTTTTTTAATAGAATTATTTTATTTTATTATGATAGGCTCTTTTAAAGGATCAGTTTCATGTTCAACTATAACCGAAGATCGGGAGGATGATAATGATAATGATATAGAAGAGGTGGATATAATTAATATGGTAAGGTTTATAAATTATTATTAATTAATATTAAGATATGATTGATACGAAGTATAATTTAGTTTTTGCCAATTACTAATTCTTTTCTTTGTTTGTTTTGTTTCTTTATTTTAGGATGTTGATGATATTAGTAGTGATGAAGATTAGTCCTTTCGGAATATGGATATTGGATGCTCAAATTAGATACATCATTGTTATTTTTTTTTTGTTTGGTCATTTGTAACATCGTACTTTTTTTTATGTTTGGATTTTTTTTTCAAAGACAATATTTATAATATGTGTTACATTGTATTTTTAGTTGTATAACTCTAATTTATGCATTGAACTTGGTTGAAATGCGTTTTTATTAAATTTGTTTGAAAAAAGTAGGCAAAACGTGCGAGACCCGTTTTGGACCCGGATTCGGACCTGGATCCGTCGGATCTGGATCTGGGTCCTCATTTTATGGACCCGACGGATCCGGGGCGGATCTGGATCCAAGGTTGAAAAACGGATCTGGACCCGGGTCCTTCTGGACCCGGTCCAGATCCGACCCATTGCCATCCCTATTGGTGGGGATTGAACCCTCAACCTCATAATTGGGAAGTGATCTCCTTTCCACAAGACCAAGCTTGACTTGGTATCTCAATCTAGTGTTAAAATACTCTCTTTGATATGTATTCGACATGGTATTTACTCCGTATTTTTGTAATGTTTATGTCTCAAATAGCATATACGAAGTATTTTGAAAGTAAAATTAACTTATATTATCTCTAACAACTTTAATTATAAATCTCACCTTTTCGATTATCTTCTCAAATTAATTTTAACTTTTGATTGCCTCAATATAATCTTCACTCTAATATTCTCAAATTAGACCCGTTAACGACAAACTAAGGCCCTATTCTTTTGAGCTTCTACACAGGATAGAGCAGAGCAAATTGCAGCAGAGCAGAGCCGAGCCGAGCCGATTACATTATTTATTATTATCATCATTATTATTATTATTATTATTATTATTATTATTATTATTATTATTATTATTATTATTATTATTATTATTATTATTATTATTATTATTATTATCATAGTAGTAGTAGTAGTAGTTATTATTATTATTATTCTTATTATCATTATAATTATTACTATTATTATTAACTAGATTAACTCTCGTGCGATGCACGGATGTAATAAAAGAATTTATAATTGTGTAAATTTTAAAGACATAACTGTTATAATATGTAAAATCTTTGTATTACATACAAATTATTAACATAAATCAAACTACTTTAGTAATAATTAAGATACTACTACTACTACTACTACTACTACTACTAACTACTACTACTACTACTACTAACTACTACTACTACTAACTACTACTACTACTACTACTAACTACTACTACTACTAACTACTACTACTACTACTACTACTACTACTACTACTACTACTACTACTACTACTACTACTACTAACTAACTACTACTACTACTACTACTACTAACTACTACTAACTACGACTACGACTACTACTACTGCTAACTGCTAACTGTAACTGCTAACTGCTACTACTACTACTAACTGCTACTACTAACTGCTACTACTACTACCACTACTACCACTACTACTACTACCACCACTACTACCACTACTACTACCACCACTACTACCACCACTACCACCACTACTACCACCACTACTACCACTACTACCACTACTACCACCACTACTACCACCACTACCACCACTACTACTACCACTACTACCACTACTACCACCACCACTACCACTACTACCACCACTACCACTACTACCACTACCACTACCACCACTACTACCACTACTACCACCACTACCACTACTACTACTACTATTACCACTACCACTACCACCACTACCACTACTACCACCACTACCACCACTACCACTACTACCACCACCACTACCACCACTACCACCACTACCACCACTACCACTACCACTACTACCACTACTACTACCACCACTACCACCACTACCACCACTACTACCACCACTACCACCACCACCACTACCACCACCACTACCACCACCACCACTACCACTACTACTACCACTACCACTACTACCACTACCACTACCACTACTACTACCACTACCACTACCACTACCACTACCACCACCACTACTACCACCACTACTACCACTATTACTACTACTACCACCACTACTACGACCACTACTACGACTACTACTACTACCACCACCACTACTACCACCACTACTACTGTTTCGGGGTTTTCTGATGTCCTGCGGGAGAGTTACAATTCCGAGACTGGAACCGGACGCCTGTACCTGCAAAATAACGGAGACTCCTGAGAGCTCCGCCTCCAACGGTCAAGTTAGTACCTGATTAAGGAGTAATTAACACAGAAATTAAAGTAATGAGATCTCTCTAGGTGAGAGTGCTTAGTGTTGGTAATCTGCGTCGTAAGCGAGATTAGCCGGTTGTTAATAACTCTGTTCTTCTCTGCTTAATCTCTTGATTATTCCATTCCTTGATTAATGAGGATTAATCGAGTATTTATAGCCTTGGGAAGCGTGCAACTCTCTAGGTTTAAGGTAAACCTAGGGCTGACCGGGCCTCTAGACTGGACTGGGCCTTGATGGCCGGTTTTCCCATTTGGCATGGGCGGACACGTGGCGTGTCTTAAGTGGTCCGTGGAGGACGTATCTGTGATTGACACGTGGCAGGTTCCTGTTGGCCTTCGTGAAGAACACGTGGCGGAACCTGGTTGGTCCACTTGTCAGTCGGTGATTGGTGGATAAAAATCCCCTAATCATTTGCCCCTCACAGGTGGCACGCGACTGGTCACGTGTCGCCTGTGACAGGTGTCGCACGGTGACAGGCGACGGCCTGTTACAGGTGTCACCTTGCAGACGGCCGAGAGATTTTCCCGCCCAAATTTTGAATTTGGAAGCGACCCTTCGCCTTCTCACTTTGCCTATAAAAGGAAGTGCTGACTTCGGTCATTTTCACATTTGAGAACTTTTGCGAGAACATTCGGACCCCTGAACTTGCTCTGACATTTCGGACTTTTTCTGCCTACCGCCTGTTCTGACAAGCCGACTGACCCGAACTTTCAGGACTTCATCAACCGTCACTCGTTCAGGTAACTCAGTTCTCTTACTCTTAATTTTCTTTTTATTTTTTGAAATGGCACCATGGAAGCACACGACACGCCCTAAGTTAGTGATCAGCCGGTCACCGGGGACGGCTGAATCTAGGACTAGGAGTGCCGCCTGCCCTTTTCTGGACCCATCTTTGCCCTTTATACAAAGTCCGACTGTATCTGTGTCTATGCAGAACGTGATGGCCAGAACAAAAAAGACTGCTATGATATCAAACTCAGACGGCTCCTCCCAAAGGGTGCTCCTTAGTGAAACATCTGACCAGGCGCCAGATGTAGAACGAGGCGACTGTCAAGCTGACAGTTCTGAGAGAGGGACCAAGGTGTTTCCTTCCCATCTTACCGTGGACATGTCTAATTTCCCTTCTTCTCCTTCTAAGGGAGAGGAGGCGGGCCCCTCTAGGAAAGGGGAGGAGTCGTCCTCTTCGGACTCGTCAGGGGACGAGTCCGAATCCAGCTCTTCTGGCCACAGTTCTCCTGGCTCAGAAGAAAAACATAGCCTCCTACAAGAGGCGAGACGTTCTCATGC